TCGTTATTGGAATAGCGAATACAATTCGACTCACCCTCTCCACACCACCGAAGAAATATCGTTCACCTTTTATCGCCGGACCGAACGGGCCAGTAATATCGACATCCATTCCTACTCCTTCACCATCTCCTTTCAACATTGGTGCTTCTTTATTCTTCGGTAGACGTGTTATCTTGGCCTGCATACAGGCGGGACATTTATCAGTCGTAAAGGGATTGTTCTTGTAAGTGTCCCAATCCTTCTTCAATAGTCCCTGTCTACCTAGATTCTTTAGTTTGTCTACACCTATATGTCCGAGTCGCTGATGCTCAGATTCAAGTGGTGAAGTCGCCTTCGGTGTCGATATCACGATCATCGCGGCAGACATTGCTCTGCCGAATCGTACCGACCACAGTGAGTCATGTTTCCTCAAACCTAGTTTCTCTTTACCTTTACCTATCCATCCACCACCGTTGCTTAGATTCGCCTTCCATCCCCATGAGAGTAACTTTGAAAGGGAGAGAAGACTTATCTTCGCTGTGGGGACGTGATGTACGTCTTTCAGTACCATCTTTTGTCCTGAATCTAGTTCGAGATTAATGTCACCTGTTTCCCAAGCCGTCATTGACTTACCAGATGCTAGTCCGAACACTCTCGGTTCTACTGGTCTTTTAATATTGGTCATTATCGACCTGTGAGGAGTTATGTGGTGAGTAGCACCACTATCCACTACCCAAGTGGGGATTACACGAGTGTGGCTAACATCATTAGACTCTGTAGCCAACCCCACCCACTCATTATCCTCAACCCTCGGGTTTTCAATTTCTTCGGGCCATACAATATTACTCATGTGCCCTTCGTCATCATCGAACCATGATTCTGTTGACATGGCCATCCCGGCCCACGCCTGATGTTCACCATCCAATGACGAATACATCAAGGAGGTTTTGGAGTTATCCTTAGACTGGTTCTCATTGTTCGAGACCATATGTCCTTTCTTATTATTCTTATTATTCCTCCATTTCCTTTTACCTCCATCCTTTCCATCTGCGTTTTCTTTCCTGTTCGTATCCTCTCTTTTAGGTTTACGACAGTACTTTGCTAGATGTCCTATAGTGTCACAATTATAACACTTTCTGATTTCTTTTCTGGGCTGATGTCATGAACTCAGAGTGGCTCTGCCACACTGCCACAGTTGAACACATGCAAGATGCATGATGTGGGTTTTGTTATCACTCAGGCACCATCTCCACATACCTCCACCTTCCTGAAGTAGTAATTGCAGTGCATGCTTAATCAGCATTGCAAACCACCACATGCCTCCACATGCCTCCACCTTCCTGAAGTAGTAATTGTAGTGCATGCTTAATCAGCATTGCAAATCACCATAGCAGTATTGCCAATCCCCAACCAAGGATTGCAAATAAGGACTCAAGAATTGCCAATAGGACTTAGGGATTGCAAATACTAGTTTATCAGTTTAGTCAGATTGCAAATTGTGGTTTAGCAGTTTAGTCAGTTTGAAGGGTATAAAAGGAGCACATCTCCCCCCTCTTTCTTCAGCAATGTATCTTCATCTTGAAGTTGAACTTCATCTTTGAAAGTCACCTAGTTGGTTCTAACCCAACACCTCAGTACCCTCAGTACCTAAGGCAGTCATCAAGCTCTAGGAGCCAGAGACTAAAACCCTTCAGTACCCAAGGCAGTACTTTGCTACCGCAGTCTACCCGCAGGCGTGACAGCTGACCATCAGAGATATTATCTCGGTTCACCCTCATTCCTTTATCCTTCTCGGCCAACATCGTGAATCCCTTTCTATTGGTCCTACCAACAGGGCGCGCCTTATGTCTCGCCGTCTCTGCGTTAAAGATCGTCAAGACCTTGTCCCAGGTTCTGTCCCTTTTGTATTCAGACTTTAGTTCCATGTGGATGATCCTGTAGGACGGTGCTAGGATGGTATTGAGGAATAGACCTGCTCGTTCCTGTGAGTCAAAGTTCAGTCCAACCAACTCCGCTTCAGCCATCGTCTTCAAGAACTCCTCCACATGCTTAGCCATTTCTTCGGCCGTCGCATCGTCCCTTAAGTCATAGCCAAACAACGCTTGACGGACGTTTCTCTGGTTCTCGATCGTGGCTGTCACATGTAGGGTCAAGCAGTAACTCCACATTTCTCTAGCTGACATCTTCTCAGATAAATCAAGCATTACAGCATCCAACACTGCTCCCTTGATCATCCCCTGTGCTTTATTCTCCCTCGCTTGCCACTTTTCCCATTCCTTCAACTCTTCTCCAGTGATCCTCCTACCAATCACTTGCCCTTTGACGGGTGTCGTAGGAGGTACTGATCCCGCCCTCTCGGCTGCCGGTCTAACCCCTACTCGACCAGCTTCGGTATCATTACCCGTGACGATATTCCATGCGTCACCTATCTGTAGATACACCTCGATCGACTTCCTCCACTGAGCATACAATGCTGGATCGTGGGATAACTTGGGGAGATTCTCAAACAAAATCTTAGACGACACAGAGGCCATTATGAGAAGAGTAGAAATAGGAACTTGCCTTAGTTATACACAGAGGTACGTGACTTCCGACTGTTAATCTGTTTCGCTTATAATTAGGTGATAATACAGAGGGGAAAAAGAGCATGCATCAATTCTACATGTCTCTATACTTATCACATTCCACTCACATGCAGTAAACCAGAGACGATCGAATAGAGTTAAGAGGATAAGTTGAATGGAGAAATATTCGACAGAAGGGGTAATTATCTAACGGCGGTTCGGCCGTCCTGGCCCGATTCTATCGGCTAACATGGATGTCAAGTGTTTGTTGGGAACGATTAGTCTCATTCGTATGGTAGGAGGGTAAGGAAGTTGTGGAGTGTCCGGATGGGGAAGAAGCCAACGAAAATGGAACTACAGGAGGAAAGACGCGACCAGCATTTTCACTTGGACCATGCCTTGACGTAGCTCGGTCAGACATCGCATGGTGAGTGAGTCGGTACTGGTCAAGAATTTGGCTGGGAATAGTGTAGCGGATACTTGAATCAGGTGGGTTTTTTGGCATATGAGATGCCTCTCCTGGACTGTGACTCCCATCAATCAATTGTTCAGGAGGTACAGGTGATCGTTGGCCTGAATTGGGAGTCGGCGAGTAGATCACCACATAACTCAAAGGAATAATCGTAGCAACAGTGGCACCGACATGAACCACAAGACGGTCCGGATCTACTTTGAGGCACAAGGTGACTTACAGGGCAGTCAATATCATTCGCTGGCCTTGGATTTGATTATCCGCCAGCCACTGGATAAGGCTGTTCAGACATGTGATCCTGGTGTCTTCTACTTCCTCCTCTGCCTCGGGATTCAACGGAGTTATTGCCCCGCGCGTTTTACTCTCTAATATCAAGCCAAGTCGGATCCGGGCATTCTGTACAGGCCCATCTGGGTCAAAGTGGAAAAGTCAGGCCCCCCCCCCCCCCCCCCCCCCCCCCCCCGGTAAATACGGAGCTGTTGACATGAATCTTCTCCACTGCAAATACTCTGTGACCACATCTCCATGACAGGTCTATAGCCAATACTCCTCTGCAGTTCAATTTGAGGCCCGGCTACTACTCCTCCTGAGAAACGTACACGAGTTGCGATTCCTGGTGATTGATTGATGGGGTATGTTAGGTGACGGACGGAAGCCATGACGCTCCAAAGTGTCACGGGGCTTAGCGTGATGAATCGAAGATCCGTGCAACTTCAAAGTGTCATGGGTAAAGATCATGACACTTCGAAGCGTCACACTTTCCTGTCCATGACCGTGAGGAGAAATCATCTCCATTGATCCCCATCAACTTCTATGATACCAAACTGTGTCCAGGATATGAGGACAGCTGCTAGAAGAGCTTCATCCACTTGGGCTCAAAAATAAGCATGCATGCATTCCTCTATAGCGCCATAAAGCTTCACTTTTGTCCATCTCACACTGGGAGTAATGTCGGGATCTGACCCTGTTTGAAGGTCAAGAGGGGCAGTATCTGAGCGGTATAATGTGATAGAATGGGTACTCGTGGAGTCAGAAAAAAGGTGTTGGAGGAGGGAAGTTTCTTCCATGGGTCATGTCTTCCGTCTGTCACGGGTACCCCCGTGCTGCTTTGAAGCGTCACGTCTGCCGTCCGTCACCTAACAGGTACATTTCTTGAGAGTCTTCTTGCGTTGGAAGCAGTGGAACACTCCTCACATCTCCAAGCATCTCAAGTGTGTCTGTCTGATCAGAGTTGCCAATGGACGCGTGTGCGATGACTGGCCACATGTGGAGTTCGGGCGACGGGTCAGATTGCGTCGAGGCTAGGTGAGTGACTATTGTGTCAGGATCACGGGTTTATCAGAGATGTATTCAAATCAATTTTTCCCTTCTCCGCTTCACCATTCCGGTTATAAGTTTGCCCTGTTCTCCTTTTACCCCTAGTTGCCAATTCAGCATCACATTATACGTTTCCTACATCTCTGTGTCCCTCATCTATCTCCATCTTACCTCACTCATTTTCCTCATACTATCCTTCATCTTTACTCTATTGATTTTGGTATCACTCATATTCCTTTTTACTATATAGAAGCAGCCCATTTTTGGTAGGTGTCTTTGTAGTAACCGTATAGATCCGTGTGGATCATTCTCCTTCCTTCTACCATATTCCAACACATTCCACCACAATTTTCTTCTATCCCATTCCATGAGATTCCATACTTATTCATCTCGTAGGTAGTTTGTAGTTATAAACCCTTGTAGATAGAAGTATGCATCATCTTACCCTTCAAATGCCTTTCTACATTGGAGACGTTTTCTGTACCAATTGATCGCGTCTTACAGTCTTGTTGAATGTATCTGCTTGTTACTTAGCAAATCTTGTGCGACTCATTCTCATCAACTCATAGTCTCTTCAATCTACTGCAGCACTAGACTACATATGTACTACATCACTAGGTCCGTTCCCTACCAGGGAGGCCCTATGCCCCTTAACTCATTGACACAGACTAATTTCCATGTCTGGTCCCAACAGTGTTCTCAGTGACCTGGACACTCCTGAACACCCGCACCAAGAGCCCTGACCATCTGGTATATCCCCACCCTCCCGCCCTCGTCCCCCCAAGGTCAGTCCTGGTATGTCTGCAATCACAACCTTTTTGATCACAGCCGTGTCATGACTGTGCCAGAGGGGTCTGTGTGGCAACCTGCCAGTGGGATGTGCAGGTGATTGGGATTTGGCCACACACAGTTTCAGAATTTTCCCTATGGCCGCAAATAATCTCTCTTGGACTCGCAGGAAGCATACCTAGCAGGCAGAGACTGGCTTCTGCGTCTCACAGGCCCCAGAGGACTTGATGACCGGAACTCTGTTGTATCCTGTTCAGGTACATTATTGATGCTCTCCTGGTAATGAGAGTCAAGAAGGGCAAGGTGATGTTGCAATATTTCCAGCCCAGGCATGTGGGAAAGACCTGAGGCCGAGTCTCCCCCTTGTGTTGGTAGATAGGAGTCAAGATGTTCTGGTGGTTGATAGTTGGGGTCATCAAGAGACGATGTAGAAGTCGGGGTTATCTCTCCTCGGGTACTCCCACCACTTGCTGGGTCTGTCGCTGAGGGGGAGTGGGTCTGATCCGAACTTGGTTTATGTTTACACACGGATTGCAAATAGATCATTGTGTTGATGCTTGAGCCAACATGAACCACAAACCGATCCGGGTCATCTTTGGGAAGTATGGTGGCCCGTAAAGCGTTTACTACTAAAGGGTGCTCTTCATGAAAATTATCGGCCATCCATCGGATCAGATCATTGAGACATTGAACGCTGACATAATCTCTTAACTCCTCAGAAACCAGATTTAACGGTTCAATCACACGTGCCACCTTGTCGTCTAGTAAAAACGCCAAGTTTAGCCCTGTAGTTTTGTATAAACCATCGCCAGTAGGAACCCAAGTTTGAGGGGGATCACCTTCGATTACTGAGCCATTGATAAGGACAGTCTTCTTCTGCAAATACTCCCCAATTACGTTTGAACTACAGGTTCGATATTCATACCCGTCAATAGGTGGTACCGGGGACTCAAAAGATCTTGGTAGGGGAAGCTGGGGTAGAGCCAAGCGTCTTGGTTCCTCATCCGTGGTGTCTAACCCCCTAGGGTATGGAGGAGGCCATTGTGGGAGAAATTTGTATTGATCTTGATACTTACATAATAAACACACACCATCTGAGTGCGAACCATTTGAATACCCAAAGCTCCGGTACGGGTAGGGATGAAATTCACCCTCTCCATTCGATTGTTGTTCGTCGGATGTATTGTGATATGCGCTAGTCGGCATTTCAGGGGCCACAGAGTCACGGGGACTCGATGGGGTCACTCCGTCCATACCTAGTGGTTCGGCTACTACTACTTGAAATTGACAAGCGATACTAGTCTATCCTGCATATAAAGACAAGATATGAATCTGAGTTTGATTAAGAAGTATTCATCTAATATCCAACGGACATGTCGGTCTTGATTAATGATGAAGGGAAGAGAGAGAAAATAAGGGAAGGGAAGTCAAGGGAAGGGAAGTCAAGGGAAGGGAAGTCAAGGGAAGGGAAGTCAAGGGAAGGGAAGTCAAGGGAAGGGAAGATGAGGGAAGGGAAGGGAAGAGCAGAGAGGGGAAGGGGAAGGGAAGGGGAGGGAAGGGAGAGGGAAGGGGAGGAGGAAGGAAGAGGAACGGAAGGGGGAGGGAA